GGACAGGGGGAGGGGAACCATTTCAGACAACTGTCTTACAAAAAATTCAGATGCAAGATGCCACCAAGGAGTAAAAGCATGAAACCAACATAAAGTAAGTTCCCTTCTCTCGCAAAGGCAGACAAATTGCAAAACAATTTTGTATTAAGGGGCAAAAGACATGATTCATTTTCTAGAATTGCAAAAGCCTCATAATGCAGAATGTGCATGAAAGCTTAAAATCACAAACAAGATGGAAGGACAACATTATGAGGTCATTTACAAACTTCATTGGTTCACATCTGATGAGGTTCTAAGCCAACATTCTACAGCCCCATTCATATGCGATTAATCTTGACATAAATCAGTTTCTCACCTAGGAAATTCCATCCTGCCACTAATGAAGCCCAGACCTCATCATGTTGTCCTTCCATTTCTCCTCTAGTGAGGAGAAGTAATGACTACATGGAAAAGGTAAGTCAACAGAAGTGTTTCATTCAAGTGTTTTTGGCAATCCTCAACTCTCATTCTCTCTATCTCTCTCTTTCTTTGCCCTCTCTAAATCTGACATTCTTGGGTAACTTGTCCTCTCTGGTTTACTTGAATGAAAGACGTTAGACTGCGAGAGTAAACAGTGTATTTTAAGTTTGTTCTCAAAATTGCTCATTTGACTCTGAAAGAACTCCATTTTCCAAAAAATTGCAGAAGAAAACCAGGACAGGAATTGTGTCAAAATTGTTTTGGAAGATGCCAAAAGCTAAAGTTTCCAACCTTTTTTTTTTTTCCTTTTTTGCAGCCCTGACTTGGGTTCACTGCATGACAATATCATTAAACTTGTGCTGAATAGCTAAGCATAATTTTCTATGAAATTTAAGTGCTTCCAAAACAAAAATCTCCCCATAAATTCTCTCAAAAACAAGGGTAAAAATCCTCCAATCTAAGTTTCCAAACATGTCAAAGTTGACATCATACTTTTCCACCTCTCCCTCTTCTTTTGTTCTTAATATGCGCATCAATTGATGTCACCTCAAGTTTCAGCCATTGAATTGTCCCTTTGCATGATTGACAAATCATTCCTGTTTTTATTTATTATAAATAAATCCACTAATCCTTCTAGTAGGTTTCTTCTGAATCATATAAATAAGGTTTAAAGTGTTAAAGGACACCTGCTAGAACATTAATTCTTCTATTTAGAGCAATTTTGTAATAGCCCTAAAAATAAATTTGGTGATAGCCCAAAACAATGTCCACGATTAAAAAAAAAAAAAAAGCAGCCTTTACCTTTTAGACTAGTTAGCACACCTCAGAAACTAAATCCACATAAATGTACAGTAAAGCTGCAAGCACAACTATTTGAACTCTTTACCCTTTCAATCACTCCCAAGCGACTTTAAGTTAAATCCACATCAAGCCCGTTCAAATATCATGATAGCATTTTGTACCATTATCAGCTGAATGTTATGTTTCACATAAATTCTTGAATAATTACTTTGTCAAATGTATTCATTTCCACTGAACCATTCAGCTATCCTATCAAAATTTCTCACTCAAATTAAAAATAAAGTAAAAATAAAAGCCTTCGATTCACATTTTCAATTCCATAATTCCACAATTTGTCAATATAGTCGCACATCAACTCAATTTTACACTGAACTTGTTCGCTATACTTGACATAAACATAAAAAACGATGCATCATTTATCATAACAGTAGAGCAGAGAAACTGACGGAGAAGAAGAAAGCGGTGCGAGTACCTGATCGGATATGCACCGCTGGCTGAGTGAAGAGTGGCAGAAACACAGGCGGAATCGAGGGCGTTGATCTGTGAGTTGTTCTAGAAGTTATCACAATTTAAACCCCACCAGACAGCCCAGGAGCAATCAACGGAGCAAAGCTACTTTCCTTTCACGCCTGTTTCTTTTCGGTTTTCTAAAATTATTCGCTTAAAGTTCAATTGCACAAAACTCCTCACAATTAGGGTAATTTGTGCTTTGCCTCTCTGACATTATTTTATCATCAGCTTGCCCCTAAAATTAATGGGTCAGTTATTGATTAACTTTTCGTGATCAAAGCATGACAAATAGTCTTATTTACCATTAAGAATTTAGTTCTTGGACTAGCTGAGTTCCTTTTTCGTTTTGTTTTGCCTTCTCAATTTTGTCATGTCGCTACATTCTCTCCTATCTTATTTTTTTTTTGTAAATTTGGAGTACTCTGTATATTTTTCCCAAATCATAATAATCAATTTTATTAGTTAATTTATTTTCATATGAAATAATTGATTCATCACATATAATAAGTTAAACTTTCAGAATATGATTTATTGGTTAGTAGAAAATGTTTATGTTGTAACTAAAAATGTCAATTTCTGCTTCTTTCTTTTTTTGTTTCTCGTGATACTGATTCCGTCTACTAAGATTTCCTTTTCAATGTCTTAGAAAGGAAATAGATTAAATTATTTTATTTTGATCTTTCTATTTCTTTGGATTTTGTTCAATAAAAGTACATATACAATGAAAATACATCACCTTTAGATTAAGGCCCACTTAATCAAGTATTCAAATTAAATGAACACATGATGATGAATTGATTCTTAAAAATCAAAATAACATGTTAAATTTTATAATAGAATGAAAATAGGGTTAAATAGAAAAGTTCATTTATAAATATAATTGTAAAAAAAGTCAAGAAAGATTAGTTGTCGATTGAAGATAAAAACTAAAAAGGAAAAAGAAATAAATGAAGAAAAATGATAAAGAAGGGCAAATTCGTTAATCCACTAAATTTAATGCTCCATATTTTTACTTTGATATTGATTTGATTACTTATTATGGTTTATAGATTCTAAAAAAGAAAAAAAAGTTAAAAATTCTAACTCCAAGATCAAACTCGTGCTAGATTAGGACTAAAAGTTGAAATTTGAAGTTTATCGGTGTCTACTAATATATAATTTAATTCAATTAGTATATCCTAGTCTATTTATGATGAATTCAAGATTAAGTATAAAATTTTAATTAATGCTGACCACATTATTCAAAAATACAAAATTAATATGTACGAATCAATTGATGTCCGATCAGTATATTTTGAGCAAATTGACAGACACTCAATTATGATAATGAAAATTAGTTCCAGTTTGAGACTTAAGAGTGCTGAAATTAAAATTTCAAATGCCATATACAGAAGATCAGTTCAGTAACTATCAGGGGGAAGTGATGAATTTCTAAAATGTAAAGGGAGCTTTAAATAATATGAATAAATCTAAGATGAAGAAGGGGAGTGGGCCGGTGGGGGGCATGTTTAAGAAATAGAAATGCAGAGGTGGTGTCTGGTGGTCTTCTCAGTTCTCAGTTTCGCCACTCCTCTCCTCTCTTATCAAATCCCACAGAGGAAAACAGAAAGTGGAGCCAAAACCCAAGTGGCAGAAGGTTTATATACCATTCTTTCCCACCGTAAAGTCTGTAAGTTTTTCATGCAATTATAATGTCTGAACTTTTGTACCTTATCATTAAAGACCGAATAGATAAAGACTTTTGCAATTCGGTTCAATGTTTGACTGGCCAAGTTTTTGAAAAGCTGGTGTAAAGTTAGGCGCTTTATATGCTCCTTAATATCAATGCAACTTTTCGGGTTGGTCTCGAATTGTTCTGCCTGTGTCTCGTGTATTTGTAGAGGAACATTAACTGATTGATAGACAAGAAGAAATCCAAGAATTTAATAAAGAACAGGTTTTTACAAATTGATGTCGCATTTTAAGTAAGTCTTCATGGGTTTATGCTGTTTTTTATTCCTAAATTTTTAAGTGGATGAGTGATGTTGAGGGAGTTTGAGAGTAAATTCTTGTGCTCAGAAAGAGTGGGATCTGAATTTTCTGCTGGAGGCTACCGGAAGATGTGTGGGATTGATAGGGATTTGAAGAGGATGAATGACTTAGCCATTTGTGAGTGCGTAGTGTATTTTGGTAACTGAAGTTACATAACATCTGTCATTCTTGCTTAATGTCACGGTTGTTGATGTAAGAACCAATTTGGCTATTAAAACATGCAAATTTTGTATGAGGAATGAAGAAAAAACCCAAATCAAACTGACTGTATTTAGAGGTTTCTCATTTTTATATCTCAAAGGGAATAATAGCCAATTAATTGCAAGACATGCCCATTGACATCTACTGAGTTCACTTGGTTTTGGTGATAAACTGTTGAATGAGTTGCAATCTTCTGAAGGATCCTGAGGCATGTCCAAAATTACCAAGAATGTTGCAGAAACAACTTGCAATTTTAAGGATTCAGCATTGGTTGCAAAACCCTGCATTCCTATGTTTTGAGAAACTGATTATTGATTGATTAGCTGCCATCCTTTGTCTCATCTGCTTGCTTGCTGAATTGTATATAGCAGAAGTTTTGAAGCTAAAAATCTTTTGTCAAATGGCATCTCAGTTTTGTAATATCTTTTTGACATAGCATCCATTGATTTCATCTATATATGAAGTATAAGGGAGAAGAGAGCACAACAGTAATGTATACAGCAGATGGTTCTTTAAGAAGTCATTACTCCTAAAAATTTGACAATTTTCAACTTTTTTCTGATACAATGCATTTATTATGTCAAACTTTCCAAAGCGTTTGTCAGTGTCTTTTTTCTTATTTAAGTCGGAAATGTCAGTTTCATGTTTCTGATCGCAAATGATCTCAATTGTTCTCTTCCTATTACCATCATCAGGTGGGAAAGGAAATCTTTTAGAAATGATCGATCCCATTCATCAGTTCTTATTCATGATTATCTTCGTACTGATGTGGTCATTTTAGGTTTGACATGCAGGTTCTCCATGATAGCCAGGAAAATACCATCGACTGGCTATCCTACAAGTTCCACAATTCTTACTCCTAAAGACCCAAGATCAAGCTCACCTGGTGTGTACCTTGGTCTTCGTGTTAATAAAACTGCCTTTTCTTTTGGCAGAATGCTCTATCATCATTTCCCTCTCTTTCACCTGGCACGTCCTTTGCTACTTCTGTAATTCAACAATTTCATGTGAGTTTCTTTGTAACCGCACATAACTATTACTTTCTGACTTGGCCATTTACAATGTATGAACATTCTTTTGTGATGTGTGCATGTATGTCTTTCATGGCTAGACTCCTCAAAGATATTGAAATTTTGGCATGCATATAGATTCTTTCATCTCTCTTGATGTAACGAGTAGAAAATGCTCCATTTTGGCATGAGGTCACTAGGTAAACGTTGTATGTACTTTTTATCATACCATGAGGAATTTACATAGTTCTAGCATGTAATTAAAAATTCCAACTTTAATCATGTAGGAGTTGGGAGTGGTCTATTAGAAGCGCTGCAGATGGTGACAGGCTAAATTCTTCCGCCTACAGATGATAGCAGCAGTGGAACTCGACTTGTTAGGGCTATCCAAGCCATTCGGGTCAAGTTAGAAACAAGAAATCAGGGAGTTAAGGAAGAATTTCCCTATGAAGTTACTCTTCTTCTTGATGGGATTTTACAGTGCAACTGCCTTTGCCACTGTTATTGGGCAAACTGGTGACTGGGATATTCTATCTGCTGCATTAGCCGTTGCTGTAGTGGAGGGAATTGGAGCTCTCATGTATAAAGCTTCTCTGCCTTTGATTGGCAAGTTGAGGGGCTTAATCATCATGTTTAATTATTGGAAAGCTGGACTTTCTCTTGGTCTTTTTCTTGATTCCTTCAAGTACTAGATGGGAGACATCAAACTCTTTATGAAGCCAGTCGGCTTGACAATTGACATATTTCCACTCATTGGGTGTTGTCATTCTTGATGAGGGCTATTGAACTGGTTATGCTCAAACATAATGAATAATCAGGAAGATATTTGGGAAGATAGCTTGCAACCAACTGCCCTCATTATGGAAGGCGCTGAATCCTGGTGGTAGAACAACTTGTCTGACAGTGTTAAGTGTAGGTCTACGAGTAACGAGACAGTACATTCTAATCAGAATTGTTGAAGTCACGAATCAGAAGAATGACGATTGTAGTTTGCCGTACATGTGAATGTCGCCTGTTTTTTTCTTCTGAAGTATCAGTTTGGCATACCTGAGGTAAGTAATCATTTTAATTGTTTTTTTTTTTAAATAAAAAAAAAACACTGATGTTTGTTAAATTCTGATTTCTGCATATAAGGACAGGGACAATTATGATTCACACATCTGCAATTTCCTTTCGGGCCAAGACTGATGGATTTTCTTTAGCTGGTGACTTCCTCTGCAAATCAACATGCAAGGTCCTGTGTGTGGTAGAGATTTAATGTCTTAAAGATGAGTATTTATCCTGTGTCAGCCTTGGAAGGAGGCAATTTTTAACTTTCAAATCCAGTTTGGCTGGATATGGGAATTGAGGAGTATTATCATCACAGCTTAACCCTATTCATCCTCAGCCTCCATGCAGAAAGGGTAGTCTAAGCCTATAAAATGAAAAAGGTGTATGACGACAAAATCCTTCTTTTCTTGTTGAAGTGTACTATAGACAATCATTCAGTGCCGCGTGCAGGATGCGCGACCACAGTTTGGTAGCTAGAAGCAGATGAGCTCTGCGCGAGTTCTAAGCTAGTTGTTTGATTAGGCATTGATACTCACAGCATGGAGGTGAAAGTAACAGACCAAGATGACGCTAGTACAGCTTTCATCCCATATGTAAATCATATGATTTCCAGCAGCAGAGCTGATAGGATCTTTTCTGGAACATACAGTTACAATAAAACTCGTTCGATCTCCGCAATTCTTTATGATTTTTTTCAATAAATTCATCATTATTGTTTAACCATGTCCTCGTCCCTGCAATAAACCCCCAGGCACCAGGCAATGATAAATGTCCTGCAATGGTTTAATTCTTCAACTGTGGGCGATGTAAGTGAAAGCTCGCCAGCCTATGAGGCGGCAATGTCATAAACCCGTAGCAGGTCGAGTGTTCCTAGCTAGCCACTTAGGATGTCTTCTCCAACTCGTTTCTGGGCTAAGTCAGGATCGTTGGGAGATCCCTTGGTTTCTCATGGGAAATTTTCCATTAAATACTCTCCCTGTTGGCAATATTATGCTGTAATAATTGAAGCTAATACCATTTAACAGAAATGTTAGCAGTAACTTGGAAGGATTTTATTTAAGCCGTATTCCTTCAAAAATTTTCCAGTCTGATTAACACTTCAATGCGAGCTCCAAGCATCAGGTGGACTTTCAAACCCTTCTAAAGTATCAAAGTACTAAGGAAGTATCTTTCTCATTATTTGTTTCATTGCAATCTGCTTCCTGCATAATTTTAACGTACTGATAGTCACAAAGGCAAAAATTATTGCAATTTGCTTGCCATACAAAAACCATCTTGACATCCTTTGGGGAAGCTCAAGGCAACCATCTCCGCCTGTACAATTCAGTATGCGTGCAGCAAACCACAATTCGTAGGAGAAGACTTGTTGCAGATCATCTTCGTTTATGTGAATAAACTGACCAGACACATTATAAATTTACATCATTTACAATAATTGAGGAGAATGATAGCTTAACTACAGAGGGAAAGAATCAACAATACTGCCTAATGCAGATTTTGTCTCAGTAGTATGTATAAGGTTTGCAGAAAGGGGTGAGCTGAGTATCATTCTAATCTCCTCTCCATCATGCATCAACGCCTGGGCCAGGATATGCTGGTAAACTCATTATACGCTTGTCAATAACTGGGCCTCCAACTGTAAAATGATAAAGGCTTTGATACTTCGATCCTCGTACCCCAAGAACTTCATGTACTGACATAAATGAAACAAAACAGCGTCAAAGAAACATCCCAAGATAAACTATTCCTTCTTCCCAAAATTAGAACCTATTTCAAATAAATCTAGCATACTAATCTGGCCAAGGACAATCAAAGGAAATAAATCACCCTGAATAAGAAAAGCCTAACATGAAGGCTAAAACATTAGCTAACCAGACCAAAATTTTCTCATAATCTCAGTAATGTAATTTAGCAGAGTTCGTGGCCGAGAGATGAGAGGTGGTTGACGAGGCATTGGTCTAGTGGCTAAGCTTGAAACTCCAGGAATTAAAGGTCATGGGTTCAGACGACCCCCCCCCCCCCCTCCCCAACACAAAAACCCAAAAAAAAAAACACAAAAAAGCTTCTTGAGTCCCACCCTCCTCTGCTGGAAAATTTAAGAGCGAGAGGAGAGACATGTAATGCCCCAAGATGACACTTTAAGAGTAAGCAACCATTAATGACATTTGGTAGAGTACGGGGTATCAGAAACTTGGGTACAAGAAGTCGAGGAAAGGTTTAGAACTTACAGGCAATGGGACATCAAGGAAAGAGTGAAGTTCCTTTTGTCAAAAATAAAGGGAGGAAATTATGAATCATGGATTTTCTTGTGTCCATAGGTAGGGTGCTCAAGATATAAAGCTGATACCTCATAGATGAAATTGGACTAAATACAAAAATAGAGCATTTTGCCTTTACAAATTCTGCAGTTCGGATACAATTACAAACTATCCCATATATGGATCCCTGATTTATGGTTCAGTGATGTGTTAACTCGGATTTTAAGAAGCTCATCCATTACAGATGGCATGATCTCGGAAATGGAACTTTTGAATGAGAGGATGCATAACAAACATGCACACACACAAAACGAAGTAGACCATCCAAATGAAACATGATGTCAAAGAGACAATTATACCAGGGTCATCAAAAAAGCAACCAATTCCAGTAGCAGAGATCCCAACTGCATGGGCTTCAAGGTACAAGACCTGGCCAAGGACCCCCGTCTCCCAAAATAACCGAGGATACATCCATGAACCTTTTTCATGCAAGGTAGGCTCCAAATGAGCCACCATACCCAGACTGAAGCAACCATCACTGGCAATGTCCTGTAATTAGATATAATTAGATAGTCATGTTTGAGAAGTCCATTAAATAGATCCTCTGAATCAGGATGATAAGTCGACTCTATGCAAGTAGCCCCAAAATTCTAACACAAGCAGTCTATCTCAACCTTCCTGCTTTACAGAAACATAAACAACTAAATTTACAGCCACTGCTTGTGGCGCAGAGTCAAAGTAGCAGTTATGCCAAAACATAATCTCCGTGGGGCAGCTTATATTCAATGTGTCTGGGAAGAAGTCAAATTGTTATCTATTATAGAATTCACAAAGCCATATAGTCTTATTGCTATGACAATTAATGCTGAAAACCTTTGTCAAAATTACTAACTGTGCTGAACATTTACTGTAACTTTTCTATGATAACATTTTCCAGTGCCATAAAAAAGAAAAGATGCAAGGTGAATGTCCAAAAGGGCATGTGCCTGAAAAAAAATAACGTATTGCAGATCCACCTATAGTTTGCACTCCAATATTGTCAAACACCTAATAAAGAAACATAAAATGCAACCAAACTCCTCATCATCCTCATGATTTGCAAATAGAAACAAGCTCCAATGTCAATTAAAATGTTAGTCATAATTAGCGATATTCAGTACAGAAGTGTGCAGGGTATAAAGTGAGGAAAAATAACTGAACACATCTTCATCCTGCATCAAAGTTTAAAGGAGAACTCTCTTTTTCTCATGATTATTTGATAATTAGAAACACGTTTCCCAGCATGAACCAAAAAGAAGGCCGAATGCCTATGCTTACTGATCTAAGTAGGAACTTGTGAAGCACACTCCAGACTTAGTAATTCAGAAATTTGACGCCAGGTGCATTTAGAAGATACTCGTCCCTTTGCTCCAAATTAAGTTTATGCTTTACTTTTAGTCCATCTGAAACTAATTTTCTATTTACTTTTCGAAACATATATAAAAAACTAGTATGTGGCACTAGATGGTTCTCTCCATGACTCGCATGTTCCTTACTTTTATGCTTGGATATAATCTTCTACCTTGCAGATAAATTCCCTCCGTAAAACTACGACACTTACAATTTAGAAATGGACATTAAACAACACACAAATAACAAGTATCCCACAATGAATTGCAGATAGTAGTCAAGAGCTCAGTAGTAATGCCATCAGGAATGTCGTCAACATACACACCTGATGACAGGATAGGCGTTTTGATAGCTCCCGACAGTCACCCTTTGCGAGTTCATACAAAGGAAGCTCATCCGGACAACCATCTGGTTTGGTCCACTTAAATTCAGACCTTGTAGATTTCCTTAAATCATCCAAATGCTCTTCATTTCTCACCAAAAAATACAACCCCTTGGGCAATCCTACAACTCTATGAACAAAAAGGGCAGCATGCACTTCACAATCCCATGAAAGCGTCCTAAATGGCAATGCTAACTGTTTCCTTTGCTTTCTCCACTCCAAAACCCGAAGGCATACAATGCAGCAAAATCTGATAAAAAGTCTCTCTTGCCATTGTGGTAGAACCATCCATATCTACTGCACTCCTCCTCTTTCTAACCATTTCCCTCAAACTAAAACCTTTATAAGAACTCTCACTAATGTCTCCACTGCCCAGAAACGGAGCAACTATGAATTGATTGAATATGTTTAAAGGCTTTTTTGTGCCTCGGCGGTCCTATAAATAATATCCCAACACACATGCTCTTTACTAAGCAAATTCGGTTCCCTTTCCACTCCAATGTTGAAAACTGGGATATAGCTAAACTCAACCCCTTATAGTCAACGCCAAAATCACTTGTGCCACTAGGAAAAACCAGAAGCACACAATCAGGATGCTCAAACTCAATCTCAGGCATCTTCCCTTGACCGGCCTGGACGGG